AGAAATGGTAATTTTTGTGCTTTACATGAAAAAATAACACATAAATAAGCACTCTTTGGATGATTTTAGCCACAAGATTTGCTATTGTTGTTAAAAGAAGTTGAAAAAACATGTATTTTCACCCAAAATTGGCTTGACCAACTGCTACTTGTGACGTCATATCTCGTAACCATAGCAACTGACCATCATTAAACTAGCCTCAAAATGTGCGGGAGGGATGAATGAACAGCTGCTGAAAACTTCAGGTACTGATGTTTTATCCTCTAGGAAAAAACTCAGAGAAACCTCATGGGAGGGGGGGGGGTGCATCCATACCCCCCTTGTACCTCCGAGGGTTAACTTGTTTAAATTATCACATCTACAATTTACGATTAACACCCTAGCGGCTACTTACCTACTAGGTTTTTTTTTTCCCTAAGATTAATTCGGGAAAAAGTTCCTGATGTTGACCAGCCAAGACGAACCAGAGAAAATAAGATTGTTTCAACAACAGGAAGGCATGATATACTGAAACAGGTTGGTGATAGAACGACTGCATGAATTTTGACATTAAATGTGTCAACTCAGTTAGTTCAGTGTGACATCAAAGCGCAATACATGTTAGTTTATTCGCTTACAGTTAAGATTTTATTTAATGTTACTATAGAAGATATCACACTTGTCGTATAGGAATCAAAAGCAATGTGCCCGGCAATACGTGGATTCAGTACATTAATTGACGTAATATAGCAACTAAATGTTCCAGAACAGTCAGAATGGTATCTTCTAGAGTGCTATGCACTGTAAAAAGTGACATAAGTTTGGTCTACGCTGCACTCAAATTCTCCATTTCATCTAAAAATAGACACAATATATTATAAAACTTGTCGATCGTTTAGAAGCACCTGCGCGTAAGTAAAAGCTGGACGGGTGGATAATAATTAAAAACTCCTCAGACTCGTGGGGGAAAGGCCTGTTAAATCAATTTTTGATTACTTTTCTTAATAACATTTACATCATCTCTGGCCACGAGACATAACCATAATCATCATAAATGTGAGGGTAAAAAATCATACTTTAGTAAGATGAGAAAGGACAGCTTGCATAGCATGCGTAGAAGGAGGATTTTGTGGTTTGTTTGTGTAATTAAGAGATACAGCTCGGCAATCTTTGCCTTTTACCACGGAGTGGCATATTTAACCCGGCAAACGGTATTTCTTTTACCCACCCTTTGGGTTTGCGCTTTTTTCTCGTGCTACCGTAGACTGCGAGCAGTCTTTTATTTTCTTCAAAATCACTGGAAAAGTGTTTTTAGTGCCTACGCGCTCATTCCGTCTGAGAACTCGACGGATCTAAGAGAAAAGGTGATACCGGTTATAAAAAGAGAAAACATAAAATAAGTCATGGGCGTTATTGCTTTCTTCACTGACAGGTTACTTGATACATCTACTACCCCGGATATCTGTTTAGTTCAAGTTTGGCTTCATTCACGTGCATATGTACGCATAGTTTATTAAAAGATTGAGGAAACCTTCCATGATACCTTCTCATATGACTCGCACTTGGTAAACAAAATGTACAGCCTAGAGAGGGGTTTATATAATGGCATTCCCTAGTAGCAAGAGCTTACCAAGAGAGGGCCGTCCGTCGGCATTTATCAGTTCGCCCCATATAAGGGAATCCAAGACAGTCTTAGATTCGGGATTCCAGGCCATGGATTTCGGATTCCAGGAACTGGATTCAAATCGTTAGTCGGATTCCGGATATTCCTTAAGCTGTATTCCGGATTCAAAAACCCCAGGATTCCGGATTCCAGAGCAAAAATGGCCTATATAGATACTGAATTCTGCAATCCAGAATTTCCAGGATTCCGAAATCCGGACTCCCCTTACATAGACGAGTCGGAAGGTGTAACTGATACGCTGAACCAAGAGGGGATCTCTTGGCTAAACTGACCTTAAATGGAGTGGCTTGCGGGAATGGGAAGCCCCTTTCACTAGTCTACAACGCGCGAGTGATCCGGGAGCGGCGAAGCCGGGAAAGGGAGAAGTAGCACTCTTTTTCTTTCCCCACTCCTCTCCAAATCAGAGGGGGCTTGCTCGTAGGCTAACTTGTTCATGCACGAGTTTACTTCAACTAGCCAGAATAGCCGTTCTTCTTTCCTCCTTTACTTTAGCTAGTCAACTAACCTCACACCAGAGTACTTGCCGGAGGACTTTCAAGTACAGTATACTTTTAGATAAAGTAGCAGCGAGTACTTCCAATGTTAGTGTGATTTTACTTGAACCGTGAAATTGGTAGTAGAATGCTACGCACTATTATGCACTAATTCTATTGTATTCTTTTGTTTACCTCTCGCTATTTTATTGTCTCTATGTTCAGTAATTAAGCCATCCAGTAATCAACAGGACCAGGCAACCTTGTTGTTGAAAAGTATCGAAAGAGAAACACTTGAAAACGCCTGCAAGTAAGCACTAAAGGGATCATTTACTATACTTGAAAACAAAAAGGAAAAAAGTAA